AGATCGACAAGGAGGCTTTAGCCGCTGTGGCCGCGGTTAAGAAATTTCATGAATTCCTGTTTGGCCACAACTTTGAGCTAATCACGGACCACAAGCCTCTCCTGGGTCTTCTTTCCGGAGACAAGCAGACTCCCCAAGTGTTGTCTCCCAGAATGACAAGGTGGACCTTGTTCCTGGCGGCTTATTCGTACAAGCTCATCCACCGGCCAGGAAAAATGCTAAGCCACGCAGACGCCCTCAGCCGCTGCCCCCTGCCAGCTCCAGCAGAAGACCCAGCCCCGGTCCATGCCATCTTCGATGTCACCGAGCTCGACCTTCCTGTCACCGCCCTCGACATCGCCACCAAATCCAGGACGGACAAAACCATCGCCCAGGTACTGGACTGGGTGAGGAGGGGGTGGCCGGGTTCTAACCTCTCAGCCGAATTCACACCCTTTAAGACCCGCCAGCAGGAGCTGTCGAGCATACAGGGCTGCCTGTTGTGGGGCACCCGGGTTGTTATTCCGGCCTCACTTCGCACTCCAGTCTTAGAGGCACTACACGAGGGCCACCCGGGCATCGTCCGGATGAAGGCGTTGGCACGGAGCTACGTCTGGTGGCCTGGTTTGGACGATGACATCGTCAAGTGGGTAAGCTCATGCCAGCCCTGCCAAGAATCCAGACCATCCCCTCCAGTCACCACCCCCACAAAGTGGGAGAGCGCCAACGTGCCTTGGTCAAGGCTACACATTGACTTAGTGGGTCCAATACACGGCAAAACCTTCCTGGTGGTCGTTGATTCATACTCTAAATGGATCGATGTGGCCCAACTATCCACGACCACCACGCTGGCAGTTACCAAGGCTCTAACTCACCTATTCGTAACACACGGGCTACCTGATACCATAGTTTCGGATAACGGCCCCCAGTTTGCCTCAACAGAATTTAGCCGTTTTGCCACAAATCTAGGTATCCGACACATCTTCACAGCGCCCTTCCATCCTGCCAGCAACGGACTGGCGGAGAGAGCCGTTAGATCCACAAAAGAAGCGTTAGCCAGATTCAACAAAGAAGATTGGCATCACAGACTCTCCCGTTTCTTGCTAAGCCAACACTCGACCCCGTGCATGGTCACCAACAAATCCCCTGCTGAACTGCTGATGGGTAGACGCCTAAGAACTGTGTTGGATAGGCTCCACCCTCACTATTGCCCTGACACCCCTCTCGCTTCAACGACGGGGGTCAGAGATTTTGTCTTGCAGGAACACGTATTTGCAAGGAACTATGCCGGAGACCCGTTGTGGATTCCAGGAGTGATAGTAGCCGTCACCGGTCCCCGGTCGTACCGAGTACAGCTGGAAGACGGCCGCATCTGGAGAAGACACATAGACCAGCTAAGGAAGCGACAGGGTACCTTCACCAATGTCGGATCGTGGGCTCAGGTCGACCCCCAGGTGCCACACCAAGCTCCCACCGAAGACCATGCCAGAGTCGCTCCACCACCACCGCCCGGACCAGGAGAGCAGGCAGTAGACCGGGACTGCCCAACGGGTCCGCCACCAGAACCAGCAGACGGGGCCACGACATCACCAAATACAAGCACAACGCCGGTGCCTGTGCATCCCCCAGGGCGAGGCTGCACACCATCACCAACACCACCGGTTGCCTTGAACTCTGAGACACTCGGTAACTCTCCGGAGTTACGGCGCTCGGGGCGCCAGCACAGACCGCCCGCTTATTTAAGTGACTATGCGTGTTCGCATCTGGGGGGAAGGGGTGTTATGTCCCTAGAACTTGCCAAAGTCCCCACCCAGGTCCGTTCATGCTGCGGGGGCGTTTGCTGTCCCTCATTGGCTGGCCTCCCTCGCCAGCCGGCTATAAAAGCCAGCTGCAGGGTCCGGCCAGTCGCTGATCGCTGTGAGCCTGCTCCAGGCAGGGTTAACACGTTCAGTCCTTTATTGCTACAATAAAGTCTTGTTGCACTCAAGCCCTGGTCTAGCCTCTCATTGCTCAACTACAACAGTCATGTGGCCAGCATGACTAAATGCTGAAGGCACATGGAATACTGTTACCTTCCCATCATGCTTTCAAACTGCTAGGTTGGCAGAAGCATACATAACTGCCCATAAAAAGGTAAAAGTAAAGGTTCCCCTCACACATATGTGCTAGTTGTTTCAGGCTCTAGGGAGCAGTGCTCATCTCTGTTACAAAGCCGAAGAGCCAGCACTGTCCGAAGACATCTCTGTCATCATGTGGCTGGCATGCCTAAACAGTGGGAAGGAACACTGTTACCTTCCCACCAAAGGTGGTCACTATTTTTCTATTTGCATTTTTACATGTTTTCAAACTGCTAGGTTGGCAGAAGCTGGGACAAGTAACGGGAGCTCACTCTGTTACGCAATACTAGGGATTTGAACCACTGAACTGCCGACCTTTCTGATCAACAAGCTCAGCATCTTAGCCACTGAGCCACTGGGTCCCTGTATAAGATACCAAGTCCCAAATTCATGTTGATTATTATATTCTGAAGCAAAATGCATACTAGGAAACTATGACTGGCATCTCCCATTTCCACCTTCTTCTTCTTTCCTTCCCTCTTGATGTTTTATCCTTAGTTTTCCTTAATTGTTATCCTATAAAAGTTTAATAGCAAGTTTAAATACTTGCTATCTCCTCAGCAAAAGAACTTGAAGATTGGATTCTGTCCTAATGAATTAAAACTGCACTATCCCATTAAACACAATCAAACTTATCCTCTCTTTCTCACCCCACTCTACTTTCTTCTTCATGCCTCTTTTTCTCTCTTTTTCTCAGACTATGAATACAGTCTCTCAGGAATACAGTTTCTCAGGAATGAATACAGAAACCAACTGGATGACTCTGGACTAATCATTCCCTTTCAGCCATGACTGAAAAGTAAAGAACAAAAACAAACCATCTAACACTGTACCAGACAAATGCAGGAGACCAATCTTGTGCATAGCCTCCAGCGAAGAGGCTTACATCCTGCATTCTGCAGTGGTTTGATTTGGGATGATGATGATGATGATCAGGGGTAGGATCCGACTGGTGTAACTACCAGTTCAGTGATTTTACGTTTTGCACGCATGCATATCATCATCAGAGAGCTTCCTGGAGAGCTGAGCAGAGCTGCAGGCGGGTGCGCAGCGGTTGAAAAAGCCTTTTTTTCCTGCTTTTTCAACTGCAGCTGTGTCGCGCAAAGCAGCTGCAGTTGAAAAAGCAGGAAATAAAGTCAGGTAAGAGCCCAGGTGGGTGGGTGGGCCAAAACAGCAGCAGACATAGAACCGGTTCTATGCATGCTCTCTGTCTGTTGCTCTTCATAGCTGCTGATTCTACAGAGGTGGTCAGAACTAGTAGAATTCCACCCCGATGTTGATATCTTGATGATGAATCTGCAGACTTCTGAACCAAGGTTCATAAATGTGGATAACATTCTGTAAAAAACTCACTGTGTGCTCATATATAGATCAGCAACAAGTATACTAATTTTTTTTTTGGAGAAAATAAAAGTTTTGAATAGGGTTGCCCTAATTGCAAGTGTAAATTATGAGAACTACTCTATGTGCGGGCCTGCGAACCTCAAGTTGACTATACTTTTTCTAATGCTGCAGCATTAGAATCATGTCTTTGTACACAAGAAAGAAAGGACCAGTGAAATGCTTTCATAAAGTTAAGATAGTATTTGAAATTAATATTTTTTTTAGAGGAAGAGAGTTCCTAGGTTGACCTCTGCATATTAAAAAAAAGTTTTCAGACAGATACAAGCATGCAAAATGTACTTCCATTTTCTGAGCCAGCTGTAAGAATGGAAAAGCACAGCTCTCCACTGGTAACTAATGTATGTGTCAGCTCAAATTAGTAGCACTTGCCAGTTTTTGCTATCCAGAAAAGAGAGGAAGAATAGCTCTTAAATTTGGCATTCTTTAGATAATCTTAGTAAGCCATATAATTGTATTTAAGATTGCTCCATTTTACAGTGCTTTAAGCCAGAGGATTGGATATAAAGCCTCAATTAGCCATTGATAGATGGACATGTCTGCTTATGTTTCCCATTATTACTACTGATTTTCCTCCCACACTTGATATGTATGTGGGGCTATATTTTCTAACCAGGTTGAATAAATTTGCTTTATTTATTCAACAATTTCAACAGCTGTAAAAGATGCCATTATGCCATGGATTTCCCTCCTATTAAATAGAACAGGGACAAACTAAAGGCAGTGCATGCATCGTATGTATGTATGGTCTTGATTAGAAGTAATCAGAGAAAGAGATGGAGGTTTAAGGTTGCTAATTACTGTATTTTCATTTTAGAGAGACAGAACAATCTATTTTTGCTTTGCTAGTTAGCCATCCATCTGATTAAAAACAAAATACCTTGAAACATCTGCTTTATTTTCTGTATGTTTCAGGCACAGATAATTTAATCTAAGAACTACTGTATGTAGCATAATTTGAAGAAATGTAATAGCTTAAGATAACTACCTTCGATATAGAAATTCACATAAAGTTGTTTCCAGTAAAACTTTGGATGAAATTAAACCTGTAAACTTCTTGATTTCCAATCTGATCAAGCCCCATCTGCAAGGGCTACAAGGATGAAGTCCTGCCTGCTGCTTGAAATGACACAGCAATCCTGGTGTGGCCTAATTATTTCCAGTGAAAAGGAACTCTTAAAATTACTTGAAGTCACCCTGAAAAGCAGTAGAATTTGACCACTTTATCACAGTGGCCCCCAATCTTTCCATCTAGGCTAGTGGTTCTCAACCTTCTTAATGCCGTGACCCTTTAATTCAGTTCCTATGTTATGTTGTGGTGACCCCCAACCATAAAATTATGCTCGGTTCCTAAGACCATCGAAAATATGTGTTTTCCTATGATCTTAGGCGACCCCTGTGAAAGGGTCATTCGACCCCCAAAGGGGTCGCGACCCACAGGTTGAGAACCACTGATCTAGGAGGAGTGATGGGGGGCAGTGGATGATTCTGTGCAAGCAGCAGGTACGTGTGTGCAGCTCCATTTGTGCAACCGCATGCAAGGAGAACTGAGTGTTCTGACCCAAACCCTTTTCCAATAAAACAAACACGAACCAAAGGGAACAGAAAACTTCTAATGATTCTTACGAATCCCCGATTAAAAGGCTGCTGCAAACTAATTAACTTTGATAAACTCGAGCCTCGCCAAAACTGTGCAAGGCTGCCAAGAATAATAGATGAGATTACCTAGAAATATTTTACAACACAAGAGTCTTCAAATACCAACTAAGATACTGCAATGTCCACGAGGCTCGAGTTTCAAACATCTGCTTCCTGCAAAGAACGTCCGATTCTCATCTGGCTTTTATCTTCTTGAAGGAGGGGCCATTATTTTCAGCCTTACTCCCGAGTTGCCCATGCTGCTGCAGCTACTCTTTTCTGCAAGCAGCTCTGCACGCATGCACACTTGGCACAGGCTCCTCGGGAACCTCCTCATCACTGCTGCCAGCCCCCACAATCTCTGAAGGCAGCAGTCCACTCCCTAATGGTCCTGGCCCCTCATCTGAGTCCTCGCTCTCCTCAGCCATCCACACCTGTTGCCGGCTAACCACAACACTGTGTGAGAGCAAGCATCTACACACACTGCTCGCACAAGTGGAATTGCGTGTGCACATGTGCCCAGTTCCGAATGTGCCATGGTCCAGTGATAGGCCACGACCCAGAGGTTAGGGACTCCTGGTTTATCACATTTGTGTTTCAAGTCTCAAAACCGTGCAAAAATAAATGTGAAGTTAAGTCTATTCTGTGTACTGTATTTAAAGGCCATACTTTTAAGACCCAAGTTTAATGGAACTATGGATAAATACATAAATATTTAAAAAGTTAGTTAGATAAATTGATTGGTAGTCATTGAAATTATTTTTATACTGGCACAGTAAGTTTTTGGATTCCTTGATCTCTCTTTAGAAAATAGTGCTCATGAATTTAACAACTTACAAATCAAAAATTTAATATTACTTCAGAAGACCTCTGTGATATAACTTCATCTCTCCTTTTCCTCCAAAAATAGCTGCTTTTATAAATCACGGATAAATCTGGGAATCAATGAGAATCTCTCTTTTTCTTCCCTGGACTCATACATTAAGAAGGAGAATTAGCAAATATAATCTGTGGCTCTTCTGACTGGGAGAAGAAATAATTGCGATGAGCCAAACTCCATAATTGGCAGATGGTCAGGGAATGGTCATATAAAGCCAGAAGATAAAAGATTTACCAAAAAGTAAATGTATCAAACATTCTACTGTTAAAACTATGCTATTTGCTAAACTTCACTGGTTATTTCAGAACATTAACTTTTTAAAGATAAGGTAAGAAAAAAATGAAAATATCTATTTGAACCATTTTTTTTATTATTATTTACAAATTCAGCAAACTCTTCATAATGTAGATTAATAATCATAAGGAGAGCAGTATTGATCTATTTTTCCAGTTTTCCAGTCTCTTCTTAAAGGCCTCCAGTGATGAGCACCCATAACTTCTGTTCCACTGATTAATTGTTCTCACTCTCAGAAAATTTCTCCCTAGTTCTAGGTTGGATCTCTCTTTGATAAATTTCCATCTGTTACTTCTTGTCTTGCACTGAAGTATTATTGCTTTGGAGAATAGGTCAATCCCCTCTTCTCTGTGGCAGCCCCTCAAATATTGGAAGACTGTTATCATATCATCTCCAGTTCCTGCAACCATTCATCATGTTTTAGCCTCCAGACCCCTGATTATCTTTTCTTTTCTTTTCTTTTCTTTTCTTTTCTTTTCTTTTCTTTTCATTTTGGATTTAGAATTTCATTAGTGTTTCAGTGGCGTATAATGAGGCAAAGGGCTAATTGTATGATTTTAAAAGTCACAGGCAGTTTGGAATATGACAAACAACATCAAATTTCTCTTTTATGGCTGAATTGGTTGGATCAGACTGCTAAACTATTGGGCTGTTGCATAATGGAGATTATGGTTAACCTTTTAACAAGATAACATGGTAAATTGCTCACAAGTTTGGCAATAGTGTAGTAGTCAAGTTCTATCAAATTGTTTTGGTGGACAATCACCAAACCATCTCTCCACCACTGACCACAAAATAGTCATAAGGAATTCAGGAGAACTGTGCTCTGCTCACTTATTACAGGAAGAATCATTCTCCTGATCTGAAATTGTGGGGGGAAAACATGAAATACAATTTATGGTGAGATGTAACATTTACTTTTGGAGTATCTAGTATATGATTAGCAAATAAGCCCTTTGGTGTTAAGTGTTCATTGTAAGCCCTTAGAAGCTTCCTCCTGCATGCATGGATCTATGTTTGTGCAGGATGATTTCTGGCATTGGCAGAACTAGGACATAAGAATGCATTTGAAGCTTCAAATAGGAAAATAATACTATTACTGGTAATAAAAAAATGACAAACTGTCCTTTCTTTGCCAAAGAAGAATATTTTATTTTACATTTTAATAAAACCCTCCTTTATTTTAATGAAAGGGCCACAGTATTTTTTTGTTTTTACTTGTTACCTTTATTTGCCACCTATCTTGCCATGGGGCTGTATTAGCAGAAATTGGCTTCATTGCTTTGCCTTGTATGGCTTAGCGGCATAGAAACTGGGTACAAATGAAGCCATCATAGCATCTGAGCCCCCATGCCGAGAGCAGAAACTAGACATGCACAGTTACCTCTTCAGAGGGTTGATTGTGGTGCAAAACTGAGATAGGCCTGAAAAGTCCTGCAGTAGTCATCCTATGTAATGGATGAACTGGTTTTAGCTTAATGGATCAGGTTAGGTGTCACCTGTATAAATGCCATTATATCTCGGAGTGACAGATAGTCAGTGATGACCTTTTTGTTTTCTTAAGCCCAATTTTTATAACTTAAGAGCTGTGGTGGTGCAATGGTTAGAATGCAATACTGCAGGATATTTCTGCTGACTGCTGGTTACCAGCAGATTCTCACCAGCTCAAGGTTGACTCAGCCTTCCATCCTTCTGAGGTCAGTAAAATTAAGACCCAATATTGGAGCCAATATGCTGACTCAACTGTAAACCACTTAGAGAGGGCTGTAAAGCACTGTGAAGCGTAATATAAGCAGTGCTATTGCTATTGCTATTATTAAAAGATAGTTGCTAATTTGTTTTTAACTCCCGCTCATTCATTCATAAAAAAGGGGATATCTCTCTCCCTGTGCCTGTGCCTCTTTGTGTGTGTGTGTGTGTGTGTGTGTGTGTGTATATATATATATATATATATATATATATATAGAGAGAGAGAGAGAGAG